TAATCGTAAGTTTTTTGAACGGGCTGTTTTATCCTGGAGGCGTCGTCGTAAATCGACTGCTTTGCATATTTTGGCAGTACGACGAAACGTCTTAAAGAAAGCGACCTAGTACGCGACTCGTCCCGATAATTTCCTTATACCAAACTCAATTTTTCAAATCCGAAAATAACAGGTTTCATTATGTATATTAGGCATATTAAGCTTCTTTTTAACACCTCCCATTTTGTATTTTAATCACGTGTTTCCATAATTTTTCTTTTATTTGCATATTTAAGAAATACCAAAAAAAAAAAAAACATTTTTTATCTTTCATTTTTTTATTTTTTTCTAGTTTAGTCATTTATTTGTTAACTATTTAAAAACGAAAAAATAATTTTTATTGTTAATTGATTTAAATATTTTTATTTAATATCGATAATTAAATTATTAATTAATCTTATTAAATATTTATATTTAAATTAATTAATGATTCTTTTGTTGCCCGATTTTATCTTGCAACTTGTTTTGCTTTCATGTTTTGGGTCTGTTCTCTCTGATTCGACCTAGATGCTTTCCCATTATTAATCTTTTTCATAATGTTTTGTCGTGATTGTTTGTTGCTTTCTCACGATGTTTTACAGTGATTGTTTGTGAATTTTATTCGTTATGCTTTGCCGCATATCTTTGCCTATTGATTACATGATGTTTTTCCGTGTATTTCTTTTGACTTTTTTGTCTGACCATACATGATGCTTTTCCGTGTAATGTATCTGTGTCTTCATTTATTGCTTGTCATTTACATGATGTTCTTCCATGTACCTGTTGCTTTACTGTCTATTCATTGTTGACCTAATCCAAGAGGAGGGATTGTGATTGTGCATGTCCCTCATTTATTCTTTACTTGTCTTTGTTGTTCTTGGTTCTTAGAACCTAACAACTCGTAATTCCACGAACTACGGACGCTCTGATTTCTCAAATTCCTTTTGAGAATACGTAGGCACAAGGTCTCAATCCTTGGCGAGCACACTTTTCTTTTTTCAACCTTTTCTTTTTTCACAATCTTTTTTTTCCACCATTTCCTTCTTTTACATCATAGTTCCAAACTACGATTGCTCTGACTTCCTATATAGGATACGTAGGCATATGATTGCGAGATCCTAGCGAGTTACCTTTTTATTTTTCCACCTTTTCTTTTTTCTTTGTCCATCTTTAATTTAGCAAACAAGTTTAGCCAAAACACAAATATTTCAAGAGGTTCATGTAGAGTACTGCAGATGCTTAGGGTGCTAGTACCTTCCATTAGTATAACCAACTCCCATAACTTTGATCTCTCATTGCTTAGCTTTAGGCCTTGCTTTTTTCCTTTGCATTTTACTTAGGGTTTTTGTTCTTTCTTTTCCCCTTCCTTTGGATAAATTAAAGATCGGTGGTGAACTTCAACGGTTTGTGATTCAAGTTAATTCAATAGCTTGATATCCGATTTTCACCGCGACACTTAACTTAATAGCTTAACTCTTTCTACTAGCATGAGGCTGCTGGATGCTTCTGATCAATAGATTATGATGTGGAGGAAAAAAAAGCTTATGATGAGCATTTATTTAAGTCGATCATTTCCAAGATGTAATTCAAGTTTATTCTTATGTAGTGGAAAACAGCCAATTGATTATTGCCTCCTACAATTCAATATTGATACTTTGAATGAAAGTTTTAATTCTTGTTTTCCATAGAGGAAACTCATCACCATTAATTCTTGAAATTCATTTCTTTTTTGCTTTTTTATTTTAATCACGTGTTTCCATAATTTTTTTTATTTGCATATTTAAGAAATACCAAAAAAAAAACATTTTTTATCTTTCATTTTTTTAATATTTTTATTTTTTTTCTAGTTTAGTTATTTATTTGTTAACTATTTAAAAACGAAAAAATAATTTTTATTGTTAATTGATTTAAATATTTTTATTTAATATCAATAATTAAATTATTAATTAATCTTATTAAATATTTATATTTAAAACAAAAGAAATGATAGGTGAATAAAAATATTATATCACGCGGTTATGTTTTTTTAGACTTGCCTCTTTCTTTCTTCTAACCTCTAGATAGTCTATATGTGAAAGATATTTATTGAAGAAAGTAACTTATAAAAGCAAGTGAAGGTTAATCATGGAATATAAAGAATATAAAATAAATCAGACTAAAATTGTATACTCCCTTTATTTATGCACATGATTATCTCATATGAATAATTATGAATATGATATCTCCACATAATACGTAATAATTAATCTCTTACTTATTATTTTTTTAAACATAATTAATTAAAACTAGGTTGAAACTTAAAGATAACAAACATTGTTTAAAAAATAAATCAAAATATGACAAATAATTAACACGTTAAAAGCAATGTGACATACACCATTTGGAAATCCTCTTATCGGTTACGATTCTTCGCCGCCTCTTACCGGACCGGCGTAGTCTCACCGTTGATTCCTTCTCTCTTCTCTCTTTTCACCTCCCAATCGCTCTTCCATTTCGTAACCCCCTTCTTCCGAATCTCTCTCCACCCTCTTCTCAGTATCCAAATCAACTTCACGGTAAATTTCAACCAACACTCTTCTCTTGTACTTCTTGATTCCGTAGAATTTTTTATTTACTGATTATGAATTCTCAATATTATGAACAAATTTCAATTCAAAATATGTTCTTTATCCATTGATGCTAATATGCTTTTTGGTATTTAATTTTCTCTGTTTTTGTTGCGGTTAGGGTTTGATCATGCAATATGCTTCCTTGTTTTCAATTCAAAATATGCTCTTTCTAAATCAATTGAATGGGTTGATTTTGTAATATTAGGTTTGTTGATTTTACTCAATTGTATCTATATGCTAAAATTTTCTAGTTATTGATATATTAGGCTAGGGTTTAGTTGATTTTTTGGGATTCTTTTGGTTCTGTTGGATGGTAAATTCATGAACTTTTAGACTTTTGTCAACTTTTGCTTGGGGTGAATTTGATCTTGTTTTGCTTGAACTTGGTATATTTTCAACCTGTAAATCATCTGGTTTTATCGGATTATGGAATGGGTCCGGGTTTTAAAAATTGGCCCTGTTGAAATTTAGGGCAGGGTGAAGGGATAGGTATATGGGTTCCCTGAACAACATATGATGTTGAGTTTTTTTGGTGTTGATACTCCCTCTTAGTATATTATATTGTTTCTGTGGGTTTTTTACATGCCTAGGAATTGGATTTGCAACTTCATGTTCATATTTGAAGTAAATGTTATTTAAATAATGAAAGGTGCTTTGAATTTAATCTTAATTATGTCTCTACGAAAGGTTATGCTGTTACAAGAGGTGTTGCTTTTAAATAGAGTACCATACTATACTATATGTACTTGAGGCCATGGCAATTAACCTTTAGGTTTATGGTCTTTTTGGGAGGGGATTTTGGAGGGGAGGGCTTACTTTTCTTTTTTAAATTAGGCAGGACATGAAGCTATAAAGCGTTCCTGAAAATTAATGTGTGTGAATGAGTTTTTATATGATCATATATCATGGTTTCTTTCAATTTTTCTCAAATCTTATTTATATGATAAAATATAGGCCTAAATAACATGTTTTTTTAATAAAAAAATTGTAGTCAAATGTTAAATTAGCTACAAGGAATGAGTGTGCATCAACTCTTTCAAGTCTTATGATCCTGCTGCTGCTGAATTGCTGATGGTTTTACTGGGTGACCATTTTATCTTAATTCTATGTTTGCCACTTCAACTGTAACCCCACTTCACTCAACTAAAGTTTAACACTTTTATACTGAGATGTATTTATTTGTATGTAGTTTGAATTGTTTCCCAGTGGAGTGTGGAAGAATAAAGTTGGGACTAAAGTATTTTTTAGGAAAGTGTAAGAATTTGGAAATCTACCGGTCTTTTGGCATTCAAAAAAATTCTTGTGTTATTACTTAACCGTAGAAACTTCTTATAAGTGGACGTCATTGTTAGATCTTATAAACCAACATAATCAAAACAAAGTGCTTTTAGTTTATGACGGAAATTGTGGCAAGCTGCAGAGATTGGAAGTATTTTCCAGTCTCACACATTACTTGTGGGTTCCTCCACTCCCAAGACAAGAAAGGGTTGCTTGGTTGCTTGAATGTTACCAACATGTGTCTTCGTAGAATGATGCAGGATAATCCTCATGAAATGAAGAATTGAGTTCTGAGGCGAGTTCAACCTTTGATTAGCCCGAGGGGTGAGTCAGAGAAGAGATCGAAGGTGAAAAAGACGAAATTCTTGTTGACATTAGGATGTGTGGAAAATTCAAAACAAGTGAAATTGGCATTTATGTTATTGAGAGATAAGAGAGCTGAGCTTCAGGAGAGATTTGATTTTATACTTAAAGCTGACTTGACATATGAGAATGTTCGTAGATCAATTAGAGTTTCTGATAGGAACTTGCAATTCCTACCTTGTAACGATAGGGAAACAGTGTTTATTTGCGGCTTTAAGCGTAGGCTATGTATAACTGACTCAAAAATCATTAGGCCTCATAGGCTTTCTTTGAGTTCCATGATTTGCGCACAGGTTAAATATGCAGAACCGTAGAATAGGTTTCACACCGGTCTGCTTTGAGCTACAACTGAATGCAGAACGACTATTCTGCTTTGAGGCATAATTGCATGCAGAATCAGAACCAATTTTAAAATCCAATCCATAGAATAGGTTTAAGTATGGACATTATTTGGATTTTCATTACAACCAAACCATGCACACTCCTACGTTTTTGTTTGGTAGTTCTTAGAGATAATAATAACTTATGCTGGTATAGTTTGATGATGGGATAATTTGGCTTTTGTGGTTAATTGAGCGGCTCAGTTGCTTTGATTGATATGTGAAATCTCAGATTTATTTTACAAAGTTCCCATTACTGTCAGTTTATATTTCTGCTGAAATTATGTGACGTAATCATGCTTTTGATGATGTACAGGAGTGAAGTTTGTGGTGCCCACTTTATTCAATAAAGATGAACACCATGCAAGTTGCCGCAAGCAATCCTGGGATTTGTGCCAGGAAAAAGTATCAGCCACACCATTTTCTTTCTACACCACATGGATTGTCAATGAATGCCAATCCTCTCTCTAGGACCTTCCTGATCCCAAAAGCAAAATATTCATCTGGCTTACAATGTGTGCCTGTTTTAAAATCTCGGAAACCGCTCCATGTTTGTTTAGCTGGTGGGAAAGGGATGATGGACAATAGTGAGGTATGATGCACTCTCATTTGAGTTATACTATGCATTTTGTCTTCATCATTTGCTATATTACATATGCTAAATTTTCCTTTAGATTCCCTTTGAGGAAACATGTTAAAATTTATTCCCTTTGAGGAAACATGTTAAAATTTATTCCTAGCCGAATTTGCGCTGGCTCATGTAGGAATAACTTAGATGCTACCAAACTGTATTTATAGTTCCATAATTTTGGTCTTGATTTTCTTCATTTATTGAACATTGATAATCAGGATTCCCAACAGAAAGCTCTTGAGGAAGCTATGAAAAATTTACAAGAAAAAATCCGAAAGGGAGAATACAGTGGGGGAAGTGGGTCCAAGCCACCCGGTGGACGAAGTGGTGGAGGCGGTGGCGGCTCTGGTGAACCAGAGGATGGAATGTCGGATGAGGCCCTTCAAATTGTTTTTGCAACAATTGGCTTTATATTTGTGGTACACTCTTACTCTCTTCCCTTCCCCTCTCTCTCTGATTATCAGTGTCTAATATGTATACATAATGTGGAAGATGACTGCAATATAAATTGCATTAGAACAAGGTTGATAATGATGTATGTGCCTCCATGTCTGATATGATAACATCTTACATCTTTTTCAGTATATCTATGTCATCAACGGTGTGGAACTTTGTAAGCTAGCTAGGGATTTCATCAAGTATCTGCTTGGAGGAACTCAAAGTGTTCGATTAAAGCGAGCATCATACAAATGGGCGCGACTTTATAAGAAGATTACCGGGCAAAAGGAAGTCGACGAGAATGGGTTGGAAAATGCTCGAACTCGATGGAACATTGCCGATTTCTACCGAGATGTTGTTAGGAATTACTTGAAACGGGATTCAAATGAGTAGAAATTAGGAGCAGCTCTAGATTCCCCACATTGTTGAACATGATGATAGATGCATTTATGGTTTTGCTTAATTTTGGGAAGAATTACTGTAGTTTAATCAAGTTTCAATTTTTCTTAGATGGTTACGAAAATTTCTTTTAATTACAATTTTTTAATACAAATTTTCTCTTAATATTGTTATGAATATTTCTTTTCATATGTCTTTGTAACTTGATGTGAGAATAAAAGGTAATAGATGTGATCATAAGAAGAGCAAAGAGAAATGTCAAATTTCCTTAAACTATCAGTTTAATTTTCTTTTATGCTATTAATAAGGTGAGTTAACCTCAAATTGAAATGTTCAGAGAAAAAAATTCAAAGCCCAGGGGCGAGATTCCTTGTCTTTGGGGGGCTAAAGGTGTTATTGGTACATAAGGAGGCTTACTTACTATTTGGAAAAAGGAAATTTGTAGTCCAATTTCTGGATTTAGAGATAAGGGTTTCTTGGGTGTTAACTGCTGCTGGAGAGGGGTTAACTGTTACTTTATAAATGTGTATTCCCCCTGTGATCTAGCCTATAAAAGAAGACTTTGGAAGAAGTTAATCAAGTGAAAGGTTAAGTTGCCTCGTGGTGAATGGATTGTTTGTGGCGATTTCAATGCTGTCAAATCTTCTGAGGAAAGGAAAGGTAAAGGGAAAGCTTTTTATGTAGAAGAGGAAGAGTTTTCGTCGTTTATTTTGGATATGAATCTTGTTGATTTACCTGTTATTGGCAATAGACTTACTTGGTTTAGTTCTAATGGCAAATGCAAGAGTAGATTAGATAGGTTTATCATCTCGGATATATTAATTAGTGAATGGAAGCTGGAAGTGCAATTTGTCGGTGATAGAGATATTTCTGATCATAGACCCATATGGATTACGAATTCCTTTAGGGATTGGGGGCCTAAACCTTTTAAGGCTTTTCGTTGTTGGTTCGATCACCCGGAGTTTAAGGATTTTATTTTAGGCGAATGGAATTTTTTAAGGATAATTATCGCCTGGTGTGAGCTTACGTATCAAATTTCGTTGTTTGATAGAAAGGCTTAGATGGTGGAATCGTTTTGTGTTTGGTTGGCAGGATTTAAAGATTGAGCAAGGGGTGCACGATTTGAATGCCATTGAAGACAATATGGCTTCTTTAGTTGGAGAAGTTTCTGAGGAAGTTCTCGTTGCTAGGAGTAATGCTCTAAAAGTCATTTGGCAGGGTCTTTTGCATAAGGAGAGTATGATGCTTCAAAAATCCATATCTAAATGGTTACTAGAAGGTGATTTAAATTCAGGTTATTTTCATTCTTTGATGAAGAACATAATTAGGAGTAACACAATCATGCCTTTTATGGTTGGATTGGAGTTGGAAGCTGATGCTGATAGTGTTAAGGAGGTTGTTAAAGGTTCCTTCAAAGCCAGATTTCAAAAGTCTTGTTTGTCTGCTGTCCAGTTACAACTTACTACTTAGTGACATTTCTAAGTTGTCTGATGAGGAAGCTGAGGTGCTGCAGAGGCCTTTTTCTGTGGAGGATATTTTGGAAGCTATTGGGAATGGGATGGAAATAAGAGTCCGGTTCCTGATGGATTTAATCTCGAGTTTCTGAATCGTTATTGGGATGTCGTTAGAGAAGATGTTTCAAAGTGTATTCAAGATTTCTTTCATACGACTTCTCTTCCTAAAGCTTTTAGTTCTTCCTTCATTACTTTGATTCCTAAAAGGGCTAACCCGCAATGCATGAAGGAGTTTAGGCCTATCAGTCTTGTTAGTAGCATCTACAAAATCATTGCGAAGATTCTTGCGGGTAGGCTGAGGAAGTTTATTGGTAAGCTTATTTCTCATTCCCAAACTGCGTTCATTCCTGGTCGGCAGATTTTGGATGGTGTGCTTGTTGTCAATGAGTTGATTGACCTTGCTAGAAGAAGCAAACGTGGGTGTGTCATGTTCAAAGTAGATTTTACTCAAGCTTACGATTGCGTTGACTGGGACTTTTTGGTGAAGATGCTAAAGGCAATGAATTTTGGAGACAATTGGATTAGGTGGATTAAGGGTGGTATTATGGATGTTCATGTGTCTGTTCTCGTGAATGGTAGCGCATCCAAATATTTCAAGGCTAGTAGGGGGTTTCGTCAAGGGGATCCTTTGTCTCCGTTTCTTTTTTGCATAGTGGCTGAGGGGCTGCCTGTGTTGGTTAGGAAGGCGGTGTCGAGGCAATTGTTCAACGGGTTTAAGTTACACGGGAATGAGCAAATTAACCTGGTCCAATTCGACGATGATACCATTTTGATTTGCGAAGATAATTGGAGTAATATTTGGAGGATTAAGGTTATCCTACGAGGTTTTAAGTTGGTGTCCGGATTAAGAATTAATTTTGTAAAAAGTCGATTGTTTGGAACTAGTGTGGAGAATTCTTTCATTAATGCAGCTTCTACTTTCTTGGCTTGTAATGTGGGTAATTTCCCATTTAAATTTCTGGGAATTGGTGTTGGAGGAAATCATAGATGTTTTGTGTTTTAGAAACCGGTGATTGACATCTTCAAAGAGAGACTCTCTTCTTGGAATGACAAGCGTATTTCGATTGGATGGAGAGTTACACTTATTAATTCTGTTTTGACGAATTTGCCGGTTCATTATCTTGTCTTTTATAAAGCTCCGCATAAAGTCATGAAACATTTGATGGCTATTCAACGTTGATTCCTTTGGGATGGAAATTCTGAGTCGAAGAAGGTGGTGTGGGTGAGGCGGTCTCAGGTATGCAATTTTTTGAACAAAGGTGGCATAGGTATCAAAAGCATCTCCGAGTTCAACATTGCTCTGCTATCAAAATGGCTTATGAGATTTATCTGCGAACCAGATGCTATTTGGCATAACGTGCTTCAGTTCAGGTATGGTGATTTTTGTAGGTGCATTCTGCTGAATTCGGTTAGTTCTCCTGCTCGTGCAAATTCCTTATGGTGGAAAGATATTTGCTCTTTGGTTGATGCTCATGATAACGAGGGTTTTTTGGGTAAGTTGTCGTGTAAATTGGGTAATGGTAATCTGATCTCTTTCTGGCATGCTAAGTGGGTTACGGATAGGCCCTTGAGGAGTGTCTTTCATGCTGTTTCTTTAGCTGCTGAAGCCAAGTTTGGAGCTGTTAGTGATATGGGGGGTTGGTGTGGAGGTGTTTGACAGTGGAATGTGGCGGACGGTTTGGTTGCTCGTGTTTCTGATGTGCAGGCTGGACGGTTTGGTTGCTCGTGTTTCTGATGTGCAGGCTGAACTATCAGATCTGTTGGATATTCTAGCAGACATTGCTCCCTCTTCTGACATGCTCGATAGTTTCAGTTGGCCGGGAGCAGTTTTTTCATCTTTTTCTGTTAAGTTGTGCTATGATGGTTTAATGAGGGTGCGAGAATTAGGCGACTTCGACATTAATCTCAAGACTGCCGTAGATTTAGTTTGAATTACTAATATGCCTAAGAAAGTTAAGGTGTTTAGTTGGAGACTTTGCTTGGATAAACTTGCCACTCGTTCGAATCTGGCGGTCAGGGGAATAATATCGAATCCACATGAATTGAGTTGTGCTTTTTGTTTTAACTCTATTGAATCTTATTGAATCCACATGAATTGAGTTGTGCTTTTTGTTTTAACTCTATTGAATCTTCTGATCATTGTATTTGGTTTATTTTTGGAAAGCGGTTTTTGGTTGGTTAGGCATTGAGGATTATGTTGCTCCTAATTGTTGTGACCATCTGTTTTTTTGGTATGGTGGGGAAGACCTCGCGAAAGTGGACGGCAACAATTTGGTTGTGCTTTTTGTTTTAACTCTATTGAATCTTCTGATCATTGTATTTGGTTTATTTTTGGAAAGCGGTTTTTGGTTGGTTAGGCATTGAGGATTATGTTGCTCCTAATTGTTGTGACCATCTGTTCTTTTGGTATGGTGGGGAAGACCTCGCGAAAGTGGACGGCAACAATTTGGTTCTGTACTTGCTGGTGTTTGTGGAAGGCGAGTAACCAAATTTTGTTTAATGACGCTTTCTTTGTAGTGAAAGACATACTTTTTAACATTGTGCATTTTTCGTGGTGGTGACTTGATATTTCGTCTAAGCATGTATATTTTTGTAATTTGTATGAATGACTCTAATGCCCCATTGATTCTTTTTTGTAGATTTGTTTTCTTTTGGTTGATCCTTGTTTGTCAAGGCTTCTTGTGTTTGTAGTTTGTTAAGTTTGGAATACCTTCGTATTCCCTTATTAATCTTTTGCTTATAAAATAAAAAAACTCGATCTCCTATATTTCTCTCTTTCACTCTTTCCCCTGTATTTATCTCAATTTACTTTCTCTCTATGACCAGACACCTTTAAATTATGCCATTCAGAATTTTAGAATCCAAAAATACATTTTGTCAACGTAAAAAACTTCTTAACATTTCAATTTCTTAATTACTCCCGCCATTTCAAAATAAATGTTGTCACTTTACGTTATTAATGCAATTTTCATTTTCATCTTCTAATTATATCCTTTAATTAATATATTTAATTTTTTTTTTTTTTCACTTTATATTAATGTTAATTCGAATACAGCAACCGCTAATAAGGATAATATGGGTAAATCACTATTCTTTCTATTTCATTTATTATATTTTCATAATCTACGTGTGAAAGTGTCAGTATCACACTTGTTAGAGGTAGCAGCATATCACAATTTTGATCATCAAAATTGTTAAGATACACAATTGATTCCTTTAACTTATAAATTAAAGATTAAGTCACTTATACTACTAACACCATTCACCCTTCATAAAAAAAAAGGTACTGAGAAAGCACACTAGTTTAAGATCAAGTAACAATCATCATACAAATTATTTTCCTTTTCAAACATGTAAATGTGAATGCCAGGTGCATCAATGTATAACTGTTTCTGTTTCTGGCATACATCGTGTCGTTGATATCGAATAGTCTAGATTCTAACAGCGCTCTCTCCGCTTTCTTTTAGATTGTATTCTTTCTTCATTTCCTCCAAGACTGAATCATTGGTGCTGTAATTAAAAAAATAAAAACAAAATTAAAGTACAAAGATTAGAAGATGAATCATGTTTTTGTTAAAAACTAGTTAATCCTAACAAGCCTGTTATTTGTCAACTTTTTTTGTTTCCATGATTCGCCAATCCAACACTTACGCATGCACAAATGAACTAATGTCAACCAAATCAGACAGCTATACTTTCATAATTTCATAGTTTTGTGAAATTTGACAACACAAGTATCTTCTTAAGCTGAAAGAGCAGCAACCATCAAGTGGAATCGGCTACATGGATCAAACACCGTCATCGTGCTTTATCATAGACCACATATCTATTCAAAGTCAAACCATTGATATCTAAGTCGTTCTTTATAATTTCTCATATAGCTTTTCTTAGCCATCCTCTGCCTCTATCTGATCTACTCTCCTTCCTAAAATAGAAATGGTCCCAATTTACTTATACCACAATGAAATGGTCCCAAATGCAGTATTTTCGTTATCTTTTCAAATAACTAACAGACAGAAATACTTAACATGTAGATCTCACATGATGCATCCATGCAAAAACATCAGTTTCCATGAACATAATCTAATTGGGAAAAGGAAGTTTTCTAATATGCAGAAGACTAAGAAAGGATATATCTTAATACGTTTTCAGCATTAATGTAAGTGTCATTGAAGTTGATGAGAAAGCATATCAATACAGACAGAAACACGTGTCACTGAGCATAAGCTAATAGTAATAACCAACCCGTTAAAATGCTTTACGAACTCAAACGTTCGAACTATTATATTAGAATTTCATAGCAACACATAGAGATGCATATTCACAGGCATAAAGGGGTGATGATATCCATACAACACAGTGACAGAAAATGATTACATTCATTAGGATCAACAGATGCTTTTGAGTCTTGACAACAATAACTGTAATAGAAGTCTTATTCTCATTAGACGAGATCGCCTACTACATTGATCAAACAATGTTATAATATCCTATCTTAAATCAAATACTATGAAAGACCATTTTAATCTACATATCTCTTAATAGTTTGAGCAACAATCTTCCTTGATCATCTTTTACTTCTAGCTATTTGCCTACAATCTAAGGACCGGTCAAGGGTAAGGCCAGTGAAGCCTTTGCTTTAGGCCCCAAACCTAACCCACTCAACCCCCTACACAACCTAATATTTTCATGATTGCACCTCCATGTTGATACCTAGCCATTGTAGTCAAGCTCGAGATCTTGAGTAGGATCGGTCGGCTTGTGAAACATCGTAAAATTCGGATCGTTAGCACAACATGTAAGATCCTACCGAAGGGGAAAATGGTAATTTCATATTTATTTATGCATACACATACATAAAAACATGAAAATTATAATTCAGACCCAAAAAAAAGGCCCAACGCGTTTTTTTACGATCTTTTTTCAAAAAGCTCGATCTTGATCACACCAGCAACGAAAACATTCTTTCATTGATCGTAGCACTCTCAAGCATCCTTGGCACAAAAGATCAGCGCTCGATCTTGACTACACTGTACCTAACAAAAGTTACATATATAAACACCCCTTTCATCAATTGTATACTCCAAAGCCTCACCTAACTTTTGGCGTGAACATAACTCGTGCTGGCCCGGAATAACCAAAAGAGATGCATCTGACTTAGATATTTTTGAGCCCAAAATTCTAAAACAAACATCTTATTAGAAGTGTACTTCAGAATGAAAAAAATTGTATTTCTTCCTACTGTGTACATCTGAAGTCAGGGCGAGAGTAAAGAAAGTTTCTCCATTTAACTTTTCTAGGGACCAAACCCAAACTTTCTTATTTTCTATAAAACAAAAACCAATAATTAATTACACAAAATGAGTAAACACGCATATAGGTCCGTAAACATGTGAGGTGTGTCAATATAGTCCCTAAATGTAGCGAAATTACACAAACATCCCCAAGTGTGTCTTTTTGTTAAATTGATTATGTTTGGATGATGGACTAGAATGAAGTGGAGCGGAACGGAACCTAATGGAATGGAATAGAACAGAGCGGAATGAATCAGATATTTCATTCCATTGTTTGGGTATTTTAGTTAATTTGACTGAATGGAGCATAACTAACTATTTCGTTCCGTTGCATACACCCCAAATTGGGCAGAATGAAAATTGAAGGATAGGATGGAACAAGAATGAATGGATTACATCATGTTCCATTCCGCTCCATCCATTATTTGCAAATCCAAACAATGGAATCTGATTACTTACCATTCCACTTCATTCCATTCCATCACATACCACCGATCCAAACATACCCTAAAATAATTGTCTACTCAATAAAATGAAGGAATCAATGAATAATTATAGTATTTCAAAACATAACTTACAATTGATGAAGACAATTATTCAACTCTTTAGCTTGTTGACGACATTGCCAAACAACTGAAAGCGTTCTCCCTACAGCACATTCAGCATATTTCTTCGTAAACTCATCACACTCCTTAAGTGCCTTATTCTTCATTTTGCTGCGTAAAGCTACAAAATTTACGATAACCCACCAAATCAATTTCACTATAAAATCATTCAATCATAAAATTGAAATCCATTTGAATAAACCCGAATTCTTAATCCAAAAAAAAAATGAAAACTTTTGAATGAAGAAAACGAGGGTTTAAGTTAGGGTTTAGTATGTACCTTCTTCAACTTTCTTCTTGACGTGATTCTCGCGTGCCTCTTGAACGTAACCCATTGTTCAGATTTTCAGATTGAGAAGAACAAAACAAGTCGTAGCAGCTGCTAGATGGTAGATGTGTATGTGTTCAACTGAAAGAAAAAAAAAAAACCAAAGAATGAAAAAGCTTTCATGTTTTTCATTGTATATATTTCTACAATAAATTAGTTTTTCATATATCAAAAATAGATCAACTTTTTTTTTATAATAAAAAATACATTAATTTATATATAACATAAAATATTCTTATAAATGTATTTTAATTTCAATTTATAATTATCAACATATTTACCTTAATACATAATTAGGAGTGCAACTTTCAATTAGATATATTTTGAATGATGTCAAAACTATGATAGTTTAGCGTTAATGTATATTGGATGATATCTTCTAATTCTAGATGTGCGTCTTAGCATTAGGAATCATTAAAATGGTTTTGAAAGGGTTCATACATCATAAATGCATTGAAAACAAAGTTTTTGTGAAAATAACACATCATAGGTCGACAAATGCATGTTTAGGTCGACCTATAGAAGCTTTTGCTTCACCATATCTATCTTAGGCCGACACACATGCATCAATAATAAAGCATATAGCCATTGTCTATGTGCTAACCAACATAGGTCGACACGTAATCGACACAAGACCTTTATAGGTCAATCTAATACCTTCACAGGTCGACACAAGTGTTTTGATAAGTCGACCTATAACTTTCATAAGTCGACACATTTGATACTTTCTTTCAAAAATTTATATTTTCCTCTACTCATTTGCATTCTTTTTGCTTCCAAACTTGCATACGTATAAATACTTGATACATGCATCTTTGTCTAGTAAGGTTCTAGTGTAAAACCTATACGAAAATGGGATTTTAAAGCATACGCATCATTTTCAACCTCTTTTTTTTCATACACGCAATCAAACTACACATAATCATTTTTTCGGGTGATCATCTAGATTAAGGTTGATAACGTCCAACTAGGTTGGTGTACCGAGAATATTGAGTTGAGTTCTTTGAGAGTTCAAATAAGAAAATCGAGTTGGGGTTTCCTTTCAAGATCATTGAGAATTTGAAGGTTTTAGACAAGATTACACAATTCAGATCCGATCGAGTGAAAGCCTTGGGACAAGGTGGTTCATTGCAAGGGAGTAGCGTGAGACGGTGAACCGTGATGGTAAATCTTGGGTTAACAAAGTGTGCGCTTGAGATTAATTTGAAAGTGTGAAAGCCTTAGGACAAGGTGGTTCTTTGCAAGGAAGTAGCAAGAATTAATGAATTGAAGCAACATTGTTGGTGACTTGGATCAAGCATTATTTAGGAATTGTCGCCTAAACAACTCTCTCTCTCTCTCTCTCTCTCTCTCTCTCTCTCTCTCTCTCTCTCTCTCTCTCTCTATATATATATATATATATATATATATATATATATATATATATATATATATATATATATATATATATATATATATATATATATATATATATATATATATATATATATATATATATATATATATATATATATATATATATATATATATATATATATATATATATATATATATATATATATATATATATATATATATATATATATATATATATATATATATATATATATATCTTTTAATTTTTGTATTTGCAAATTATTGGATTTATTGCTTGTTTTATCAATTTGTTTGAGAATTATTTTTGATCATATTTTTGAATTAGGTTTTGTTCATAAAATTATAATCCGGTTGATTGTGATTGATTTTTGAATCAACAAAACAAATCAAATTTCCAAATGATATCGATTGCACACAACGTGTTTTATAATTTCTCCATTTGTGTTTTTGATAATTGGAAATAAACTCTACATATAACTTAGAATTTGATTGTGTTGTGATTAATCATTGTTGAACAATTTGTGTTAATTATTAATTAATTGTGTACCTTTACGAATATCTAAGCTTTTCGATAGAGGTTCGATTAGACGATTTGATTCAGGTTGTTTCCGTTGTGCCATAAAAATTTTGAAAAACATTTTTTTCAAAAGTTTTTATTTTAAATTTGTGACCTATTCACCCCCTCTAAATCGAAGTTTGTCGTCTAACAAGGCAGGTAGATGTTGGAAAAAAAAGTAAGGGATTCAACTATATAAGTAGAGAGGAAATTGAGGATGAATGTTTAGAGGCTGAAAGTTTCATGGTTCTATAACATTAATTAATTTATGTGTGTGTTTGTTCCTAGTGCAAGGGTTTTGTGAAAACCCTAGGCAATGACACAAAAAATTCCAACAAAGGGAGTGCAACATATCCTTTGGAAAATTGACCACGATCATACAAAGTGCATATCATGTGTATGCATTCATACTTAACATTGTACAAATGGCTCCTCATTCAAACCTTATCCATAATTGGTTTGTCAAGGTTGACCTCAACACAAACACAAACATGTCACCTTATTTTCACATCAATGATATTGGTATCCACCTTAAATAACGTCCCACTACATATGTTAATGCCTTTAACACACTTCTGTCATAGGAGAAAAAGTTGAGACCCAAAAATATAGCTAAGCCAATGTGTTATCCATTTTGGAAATTGATGATGCAAATTCACGCGATCACTTAAAAATAATAAGATAATGATTAAACATCATCAAAAATTCCTCCATCCATCATCCTCATCTATATATGTATGGTGAAATTTAACCATGTAGCAACTATTTCCCGCCATGATTCTAAAATCAACCGAGATTTTTCAAGGCTTATGTATTCACTATATTATAACCAACTAATTTTCCTAAAAGCTTGATAATAAGGGCAACATTCAAGGTCTCACTTAAGCCATTCCGAAGAAATACATCAAAATTGACCATTAGTTATCAAGAATTATCATCTGCACATTCAATACATTCTAACTTATCTTTAAAAAAATCTTTCTTCTTCCTCATTATTGACATCACAACTACGCGACTTATCAATATGTCTCTAAAAAGACACTTTTTATTGTTGCATCTCCGTTTTTTTGGACTTTATTATTGTTAAGAGGTCCACTTTCCCTTGCCAGGCTGGAGTTATGTGGAGTACACACAAATGGCTAGAATGGCCATTGTGGTTGTATGTTTTCAAAGAGAAAATGTGCCATAAGAAATAAAGATATTTTATCAATATAATAAATCATATGAGTTTTAATTAAGGATAACCACATGAAAGAGCAATCACTCTCTTAGCACATAATTTGAAAAATAAATTTAAAAAAATATACTTAAATACATATAATAATCAATTGTTTTTTTATAAAGGCCAAGATAAAAATAAAGATGTTACAAAGCGAAACGGGGGGTTGTGCAGTCAAGTTAACCCCATTAATAATAAGAAAATTTAAATAAAGGTATGACCAAACTATTATTTACAAAATCATTCCTAATCCCAATAAGGATGGAATTAAAAAAATTGTAGAGCTTATAATGAGTGATATATATTTGCAAAAAAAAGTTAGCACGTGTGTTTTCTTCTCTATATATGTGAGTGATCAAGACGTTAGTGTCGTTTGTTGGATCCGTGCAAGAATTCCATATGCTTTTAAGCCTCAAAAGGACCAAACGAGGGTTGGGGAAAGCTTTGAATACCATGCTAGAGTATGTTTCTATCCAAAGCTTCAGCCAACCATGATTTATACTAATTTCAATAGCTTTTAAAACAACAAAAAGTTATGCAGGCCATCTTATCCCACTTTTTTTTGAATTGGTTTCAAAATAATTTCCTAATTAATTTAGGTAGTTTGATTGAGATGGATCAGCTCCATGAAAAGTAGATACAGGAAGGAGAAACAATTAGATAAGAGAAGAAGGCTAGCTATACGATGAACACATGCATGTTTTCGCTGCCTCTTTAATCCTTTAACTTTAGGTAACAACATAAAGGATCTCTTAGTTTTAGTTATTGATGTTAAGGTTATCTTATCACCTATAAGGATCTTCTTACTTGATAGAGTTGCTAAGACCTCAGTATGATTGTACGTCGTATCACTTCCCTTGATCCACCGCTAGCCAATAAGAGACAGAAGACAAAGCGCACCTGACAAAGTGGGTATGAGAGGTCTTTCTATCTACGACTCACTCTTGGTCTCGAAAAAAATTCATTTGACTTGGTTCACTTAGTTCATAGACTATAGCGACTCTGGAATAGGAAGACGTACAAGCGTTGGGCTGGTACTCTTTGCGTGGCTCAGTAAGCGAGAACTTCCAAAATGCAAGGCATATCTAGCATTTACTCAACCATATGATACTAGTTGATATCACCACATAAAGGTTATAACAAAAAATCTTATTCGTCATCAACATGATATGACTAGAGCTTTAACAAAGGATACAAAGAGCATTTTTCTGCAAAATCTAACATAAAGTCTCCCTTGCTATTCCTAAAAGTTTTGCCACAACCTGAAGCATGACTAGAATGATTGGAAGCACCATCATGATTACACTTGTGTCATACCAAAAATTTGTCCTACCTGTGTATAATTTTTCATTTTTGTATATCCACTTATTATCATACAGAAATTTCCAAAAAAAAGATATCACAGGGTTAAGACTATTTGAATCAAGTTTCATCTGAGGCTACACCAAATAGTTCCTGATCATTAAAATTGGTTCTTTTTTTACCCAATAGAGATGGCATGCTGAATGGATGTCCATGGCTCAAGTTTGTAATCAAAATGCCTTTTTGATATAAGTTAAAAAATTGGTTTGGTGAATAAACTTCAAGGTTCAAGGCCGTGATACACTCAATAACTGAGATAGACTCTCGACAAGGTTTGAATTTGATGGTTAGTATTGATACATGTCTAGCTATGGCATCATTCGCGAAGATGTATCACAAATTTTGGAGCAGTGGTACACACGCGTTTGTATCATGTTATTCGGTCAAATAAATCAATTGTCATAAAATCTATGAGCCATACAAAAACACCAGCTGATTGAAAGAGCCACCTCGTATATTATGGCTAAAATTGCTTCAAGGCATGAGGAATCTT